TCAAAGGGGTGCCGGGAACTCGGGGCCATTTCCTGACTTATGGTGCAAAAAAGAGGTGGTGGTAGATTTTACGCCGCTACCATACGGCGAGGAGCCGAGTCTATTTTTTCGGCTTTGTCACTCGTTTAGCACCACCCGGGGGACACGTGTAGGGTGGACCTAAGGTTAGGTGGTCGAAGCTTACGGATACGATCGACTCATCCCCCCGAGCGACTCATGCCCCCACATGACACGAAATATATTATAGAAGTTTATTTTAACATTCGACTTTTTATTATCATTTTATTTGTTACTCAGGGAAGGGCAGGAATTTATAGTTGACACAGACGCAAGTGATACAGGACTTGGCGGTGTGTTGTCTTAACGGAATGGTAATCGAGAGGTTGTGATAGCGTACTTCAGCAAGTCGTTGTCAAAACCGGAAAGGAACTATTGTGTCACAAGACGCGAATTGCTAGCTGTGGTAAAGTCGTTGCAGCATTTTAGCAAATATCTTCTGTGGCGGAAATTTCACTTACGAACCCACCATGCTGCACTAAAATGGCTATTGCAGTTCAAAAATCCAGAAGGACAAGTTGCGAGGGGGATTGAACTACTGCAGGAATACATTGACACAGATGCATTGTTAAGAAGAACTTGTCCTGAAGATTGCAAGCATTGTACTAGGCAAGAGGGTAAGAAATTGGTATCTGTGAGGATGCTCAGGACAGATCACCTCAGCAACTAGTGGAAGGACAAGCTTACAACATGCACATGAGGAAGATCTGGACATCAAGCCGATTCTGGAATTGATGAAGGCCAGTTATAACAAGCCCAAGTGAAGCGACGTCTCAGCGATGAGCTCAACCACGAAAAGCTGTTGGCTCCAATAGGACAATTTGCTGCTTTAGGATGGAGTTCTGTGCCGTAAATGGGAAAATGGTCGGGAAGACTGCTGTCATTTGCAAATGGTTGTCCCTGAAGTGAAAGTACCGCATGTTCTAGAGCTGTACCGCAATGATTGTTCGGGAGGCTATCTGGGAGTTGAACGAACTCTACTGAAGATCCAAGAACGTTTTTACTGGGTCTGCTGTCGAGACGATGTCGAGGACTGGTTTGGTAAATGTACAAGTTGTGCGGCTGTAAAGGGACCTCAGACTCGTAGAAGAGGTGCATTGAAGTTGTACAATGTTGGTGCACATGGGAGAGAATAGCCGGGTGGGCCGTTTCCGGAAAGTGAAAGCGGTAACAAGTAGTTCATGGTTGTGATGGATTACTTCACTAAGTGGCCAGAAGTATTTGCCATTCCAAATCAAGAAGCTTCAACAGTTGCGGATAAACTAGTTAATCAAGTCTTCTGTCGTTTTGGAGTACCGTTATAGATTCACAGCGATCAAGGAAGGAATTTTGAGTCTCAAATATTCCAGGAAAATTGCCGAGTTATGGGTACTCATAAAACAAGAACGACTTCTTACCACCCGCAATCTGATGGAATAGTAGAACGATTTAATCAGACATTGGAGAGGTACCTAGCAAAAGTTGTAGACCATCGGCAACGAGATTGGGACAAGCACATACAACCGTTTTTGTTGTCATATCGAAGCGCTGTTCACGAAAGTAAATCAGTGACACTTTGGAAGAGAATTACGGCTACCTGTAGAGCTGATCGCACGAATGAAGTCCACACTCGAATTTTCTACATCTAGTCGGTTGGGACCGGTATTTGCTGGAACATTCTAGATGTTTCGGTGCAAAAGGCCTATATAAAGCCGTTTAGGACCACGACCGGAGCAGTATTGAATTGGCGATACGGGCGAAGCTTTCGGCGCGAAACAAAATGAACTAAAGCATTAAGTGTGATTAATTATTAGTGTGATTTAAGTTTTAATTGGTATTCAGTAATTAAAGTATCAATTTTGGTAATTTTATCGGCAGTTTTTAATTGTCACGTACACTAATCTCGTAACAATAATAAATAACAAACGGTCACACATCCACGGACTGACCGCGGCAAGTGCACCTTCTTCTCGCAGATCTATTGATTCGCGCAGTTACTATGTACTTAACCACGAGCTCCTTTTTCTCTACAACGTGATGAACCACGCTATTAAGCCCTTACGAGGAGTATTAAAAAAAACGCAAAATTACAAGGTTTCCTCGTTGAAATTACATGTTTTCCGTTCGTTGCTTGAAATAACAATTACTTGGTAAAAATAGTTCATTTTCTCTACTACAATGAACTCTAATTTGTAGACTCTATTGAATATCGACCTTCGAAAAAAAATATTTTTATCACAAATATCCTATAATTTAATAATCATAAAATACATTTTTGTTCTAATATGCCTCTCACGTAAGAGAAAAAAATCGACATAATCCGATACAAGCGCTAATATCTCCAAAGTTCTACATCATTTTGACGTAAATTTATACCAAAATAATCATCAACATTTTCTTAAGCTCTATAATTTTTACTTTTTAAATCGTTACTATTATTTTTTAATTAACTAAATAAAAGAACCATATATTTCACTACTGTATACTGCACCGGCCCTCTGCGTTCAACGGTTCAAAACGGCGTGAGCGCCCGTCAGGGTTGGACTTGTATCAATTTATTTCGCGCGCTCCGTCTCGTTTCGATTCATTCATTTGTTTTGTATTTGGTGTGTGTGAACAATACGTAAACAAGGACTGACGAGAAGATACTGGAGCTAGAAGAAGAGGTAGAGAAGTTACGCTGGCATATAATAGGATTATCCGAGGTCCGAAGAGAGGGGGAGGACACGGTAATCCTCGAATCCGGCAACTTGTTCTATCACCGGGAGGGTAAACATCTGTCCCAAGGAGGTATCGGATTTATCGTCCACAAGTCTCTCGTCAACAACGTTGCAAAGATTGAGAGTGTGTCGACGAGAGTCGCGTACCTGATACTCAGAATCACCAAACGGTATTCGCTGAAGGTCATACAGGTTTACCCACAAGTTAAAGGTTGAGGAGGTGGAGGAAATGTATGAGGAAATCTCTAGAGTCATGCAAACTAGGCATAAGAGAAAGTGATGAGCTGAATTTGGGGAAATTTGGAGTAGAACAACGGAACCCAAGGGGCCAGCAGCTGGCCGACTTCATGGTGAAAGAGGGACTCTTTATGATGAACTCTTTCTTCCAGAAGCGGCTCTACAGGAAGTGAACCTGGTCGAGCCCAGACGGTTCGACAAAAAATGAAGTTGACTTCATTATGACGACCAGACGCCAACTGTTCAGTGATATCTCAGTAATCACGAGGGTGAAAACTGGCAGCGATCACCGAATGGTTCAAGGCACACTGAAACCAAACATTAAGTTGGAGAGGTCTCGTCTAATGAAGTCAACGCTCCATCCACCTCGTGCTCTAATCCAAAGTCTCGAAATCTTTCAGCTCGAGCTAGAACACCGTTATCAGTGCCTAGAAGATTGCAATGCAGTGGACGACATGTATGACAAGTTTGTGGAAACTGTCCGTGCGGTTAGAGCTAAGTTCTGCAAGACCCGCCGCAGAATACCACAAAAACTCTCCGATCACACTCTTCACTCTCTTGGCTGTTAGATGGGAAATGAAGCTGCAGTTTTCATCGGATTTGGCAGCATACAAACAACTGAACAGACAGATCTCCAAATACATGCAGTGGGACTTACGCAACTTCAGTACAGCTCGTATTGAAAAAGCGATCGAGCGGAATCAGAGCTCCAAAGTCTTTTCCAGGGATCTGTCTGTAAGTTGAAGTTAAAGACCGAGTGTGGTAGCATCGTTTTCGGGACAACTGAGATTTTGAGTGAGATTGAGAGGTCTATAGGTATAGTATAAACCTTTCTATCATCATTCAAAATCTCAACCAACGAGAATTGTGAGTAGCGATCTAAGAGCAAGTCTTATCCGACACTATTGCGATGACATCCCGGACGTCAGTCTGAGTGAGATTAGAATGGCACTCCACCACCTTAAAAACGGCAAGGCCCCGGGCGAGGATGGAATTACAGCGGAGCTTCTGAAAGCGGGTGGAAAACCGGTACTTGGAGTCCCTCAGAAGCTCTTCAATTCCGTCCTCCATGGTGGCACTACTTCGGAGGCGTGGAGCAGAAGTGCGGTGGTCTTGTTCTTCGAGAAAGGCGACAACGCTCTATTGAAGAACTACAGACCGATATCCCTTCTGATCCGCGTCTACGTGCTGTTCTCGAGAGTCATTACGAATCGCCTCGCACGCAGATTCGACGACTTCCAGCCTCCCGAACAAGCCGGAAAAAAAGGTTCTCGAGTGGCAGCCTCATTCTGGTAGGCGAAATGTAGGCCGAACCCCCCCCCCCCACTGGATGGAGTGACGAACTGGATGGAGTGACGATCTGGTAAGACATGCAGGAAGTATGATGGATGCAGATGGCTCTGGACCGTGCTTTGTGGCATACCTTGGGGGAGGCCTTTGTTCAGCAGTGGACTTGTGAAGGGCTGTAATGATGATGATGATGATGAAATAATCCGTGAGTTTCGGTCAAGTCCGTGAGTTCGATTGTTTTGTTTGCATTACGCGTTGAGGACGAGTGTTTTCTAGTTTAGTTTTTTTAAGTTTTTTGAATGTACAGTAGGGTTACGATAGCTATCCGTGTACAGAATTAGAGTACGAAACCTGTCCAACTGCAGAGAGGTGTAAGACTGGGTGATGTTATATCCCCGAAACTCTTCACCGCTGTTTTGGAAAATGTTTTCGAGCTACTGAACTGGAAAGCATACGGTATTAACATCAATGGCGATTACATCAGTCACCTTCGATTTGCCGACGATATAATCCTTTTGGCAAAATCGCTGGAGGACCTTAAATCTAAAATAATTGTTAAAATTTGTTTAGTTAAAATTAATTGTTAAAAAATTCAGTTAATGGGGATCCACATGCAAAGCGGCGCCATGGCTGCTGTCAAATTGTTGTAGAATACTTTACATAAAGAAAATTTGCTTTTCTTTATATTGAAACTGGTTAACCATCGATAATTTTAAGATGTATTGTACCTGGAAGCTTAAAGAATTGAAAGACGAACTAAAAAAACGAGGAGCGAAGATAACTGTAAAGAAAGCAGATCTTGTTGAGAGGTAGGCTTGTATCTACTAAAATATTATAAAACTGTACACTTACATACATGTTAAAGATTTGGAGCTAGTTTTGATTGGAACGTGTTAATTATTTCTTGATTAATGTTAGGAAAATTTACGAATAATCAAAGAACATTACACTAATGATAAATGGTATTTTTTCTTTTAGGTTAGAATCATATGACCGAAATTTTAATTTCGGCAATCAAAGCCCTTTAGCTTCTCAAAGTCAAGCAATTGATGTTCCTGCTGTTGAACTTTACCAGGACGTTAATAGCTCCACGATATTTCCAAAGATTACCAAAAAACATATTCAATGTTATTTTGATAGGTAGGTAATAATTGTTTCTAACATTTTATGTAAATATTAAAGATTATTTGTCCACTAAGTTTATTATATTGTGGTTATAAACTTTCTCTTGATATTTAACATAATACTTTTATTTCAGATTCAATACAAATATCAGTGATGCTGTAAAGTTATATGAATCGAGATACCTTCTTATTTTGCGATCAACAACATTTGCTGAAGATACATACTTAAAAGGTAGGTTCACCGGATAATAAAGGTTGATGTATCAAAAATAAATAGATGGCTAGGCTAAAATTGATGTGTAATATATTTGTCTTTTAAATATGAACATATAAATACTTCTTCCAGGTTTTTGCAAGGCATCTATGAAACAACTACAATATGAGGTAAACATCAAATTAAATAATGATGGAGTGCCTGAAGAAGCAACATGTGAATGTGCAGCAGGAGAAGGCAAAGAAGCCCATTGTAAACATGTGGCTGTGGTACTTGTTGCTGCTGAAAATATTCTTAAGGAAAAAATAATACTGCTACATGAAGTTTCGACATCACAACTTCAAACGTTTCATAAGCCAACAAAAAAAAATTATGCCACACCATTGCGAGCCTCCAGATTGCCATCCAAAAGGGATATACATAACATTGTTTACTCTCCATATTTAAAACAAAACCCTTATTTTGATAAAAAGGCATTCCAATGCAGGTTTCAGTCCCTGATTTTAAATATCCACACTCATCGATGCCCTTAAAACAATTATTTCCAGCAGCTATTATATTTCACACTGTGTGCCATTTGAAAAGTGAAACTTTAGTAAAATATTGAAACCAAATATTAAATAAAAATCTAGTACAAACAAGAGCGATGGCACATGGGATGATTAATGAAAACGTAGCCATTAAAAATATATGGAGATTTATGGGGTGGTTGTTGAAAAGTGTGGATTGTCAGATTTCTCAGGAACGACCTTATCTAGGAGCATCTCCAGACGGCTTACTAGGATCAGAAACAATAATTGAAGTAAAATGTCCTTATGCTTCCAGAAACCAAGAAATCAGTCCTCTTACAGTACAACACCTTACCTACAATTTGATGATAATGGACAACTTACTTTAAAAAAAAACTAATATTTATTACTGTCAAATTCAAGGGCAATTATATGTAACAAAAAGAAGATTTTTGTAATTTATTAGTTTTTACCTATAAAAGTTTAAAAGTAATATTTATTGAATGTGATGAACAGTTCATTACGGATATGTTGAGAAAACTTGATTATTTTTATTACAACTTCTTTAAAAATGCTGTAACCAAAAAATATTTTTCTAAGGATTAAGAATGGGATATGGGAGTATGCTAGGGCTGAATCTGAATGACAGGGTGAGACATTGTGTGATAAGGGAAAAGTGTGTTTTAAAATACGATGCTGTGACCAGGATTAAGAAAGGAATGCTTTGGTGGTTTGTTTATGTATGAACAAGGAGTGACAAAGCAAATCAGATATTGCAGATGTGAACAGCAAAGTCGGTAAGGTACACCCTAGACTAAGGTTTATCAACCAAATTGGCCATATATTAAAAATGGGCCAGATTAGCAGTACCCGTAACCAACGAGCATGTATGAGTGTATGTATATGGATGTAAAGGAGGTGAGAGAGGTTGTCAGGATCGTGTCAAATGGTAGTCCGTAGTCTCTGATTGCCCCTCTGGATGATAGGCGTGTTTATGTTGTTTTTTAAGATTTCATAATAAAATATATGAACAGTTGTAAAAAAGCTTTTATTTCATGATACTTTCTCTAAAATTACAATCCATAGCACAAACAAATAAAATTCTAGATGCTAGCGGTACATGATAAGGGCTCAATTCACTTTTTAAAATCTTATATGATTTAGCTAGACCTATAATACGTTATATATGAACTCGTTTGCTTGCTAGTTTTCGATCCTGAATTATTCTAACACATGGTAATTGTGTTTTTCCTTTCAGAAACATTGGTATATTAATAGTAATGTCTCTTGATGCAAAAATGTCCTGCACATTAAACCCTCTGTCTGCCATGATAGAATCCCCACTGTCACACACATTTATTAGTTTGGATCTTTCTATGATCTGTCTATCACTGACTGAACCTCCGTAACATTCAGAGACATATGATATAAGACCTCCAGGTGTTGCTCCAATCATAGCCTTCACAGTGTTTTTGTGTTTGTAACTGCTGAAGGTCACCTGCTGTGCTACTGGATTCCCAGACCTTGTGATGGGTATTTCAGTTGTGTCCACAATAATCCTTGTACTTGGAAAACCCCTTTTAAACGACTCTGGCATATAATATTGAACCAATTCTTTACTTGGCCAAATATTAACTAAAGACCATATTTCATACATAAAATTAATCCACGTTATAAAAATGTTAGTAACAGTAGTTTGGGAAATACCAAATAAAAATGCCAACTCAAAATCTGGCAAATACCTTCTCAGCTTAATTAGTGTTATCCACAGTTGGTCACCAATACAAACATTGATAACTTTACTTACCCTGTAATTTAAATTATTACACATGGGACTTAATGTGTCTAACACCAACATGAATTTTTCATATTTTTCTAGCCCAGTATAAAAAGGAATAGCCTGCGGATTGCCTCTCATGGCCTCTAGTGATAAGATAAGAAAGAACTACCACATTGAGTGCTAACAGACACAGTTTTTGGAGTAAAATCCTCTAAGGAGCCCTCTATAGAAGATATTTCAATTTCAGCATTAGAAGATGGTTCTGGAATACCTTCTTCTACAGATGGTTGTCTGAAATCAATTACGCGTCTGCTTCTTTTCATATATCGACTGGTTCTTGATGTAGGTGTTGTTGACACCTGGGTGGACCAAGGAAATATACTTGGTACAGTTCCCTTTTTCAGAAATTTGCATATTTGAGGATGTCCTGTAAACAACAAAAATTGAGAAAAATAGTACAGATTACCTTAAATTATTCAAATAACTTTAATGTACATCTACATGAGTAAAATAGATTTTATGAATTTAACACAACATAATCTGATGTATGGAGGCATACATTACATACATTATTTATTTTATTGGTTCATTATTGGTTTATTTACTTCCTAACTTTTACCCGGGATTTCGTTCGCAAAAACTTAAACAAAGTGACTATATAAGTGGTCTTTGGGCAAGTGGTTAAACTTTCGAAAAATCACTAGTAAAGTCTATAAGTAATAATAATAAATGAAATAAACACAAAATAACATACCTGTGTACGATGATTCTCCCACATAATCAGATTCTTGGAAATGATTCCGACATAACCTGCTATGCTGTGTCGCTACAAAATATTTGCGTCTTATAGCCTTTTCCCACTTTTTTGGGTAAGAATTCGTCGCGGGGAGGGGTGGCGTGGGGGAGGGGAGGAGTTGTAGAGTCACCCCCTACTTCCACATAATCAGATTCTTGGAAATGATTCCGACATAACCTGCTATGCTGTGTCGCTACAAAATATTTGCGTCTTATAGCCTTTTCCCACTTTTTTTTTGGGTAAGGTTTACAATTCGGTCGCCTGAATTTGGGGGTGAGGGGTGGCGTGGGGGGAGGGGGGAGGAGTTGTAGAGTCACCCCCTACTTCCACTTTCTGCCGGACGTGCTTAGTTTTTTTTTTATTAATTTTTAAAAATCTCATTTTGAGGTTATGTTTCGTAATTTTTATGACAATTTTAACCTGATTTATGGGGAGAGAGAGTTGTGGGACGGAAGCCTCACGCCACTTAACGTGGTGCAGTTAGGGGAAATCCGATCGACGGAGCCCCGCTTCGCGGGGCTCCTACTTCTGAGTGGTTTACAAAAAAATAACCACGAAGAGAATGACGGGGTCTATTCGCTCGCTTCGCTCGCTCATACGACCCCGTCATCCTCTTCTAACCTAACCTGTCCGAGTCGGGGTGCTCCACGTCCCAGGCTCGCTTCGCTCGCTATTGCACTCAATATAACACCAAATTATTAACTTTCATAACTACTTTAAGTTATAAACATAATTTATGGCTGCCACCATTTGTAAGAAAAGATCTTTGCGATATTTAGCAGAATTCCGCCGTCACAAATATTTCACTATTCACCAAAATTCTGAAACTGGGAAGCAACGCCATGAGGAAAAGCTGTCAACAAAATGGCCGGCATAGCGATTTAATTTTACATATTTTTAAATCGATTCAAATCGAAATTGGATGAATCGATTCACAAAAAATCGAAATCTTAAAGATCGATTTCGCAAAAATCGATCTTTTTTTGATTTGCGTTAAAAGTTTATATTTACGATATCAAAAGATACAATAACACTTTCCTGAGCAGGTGTTAACCTTTTTATCTATTATCTTCAACGCCTGCTTCAACCTCAGTTATTTCCCCACTACGTGGAAAGAGGCAACTGTGATTGGAATTCCCAAGCCAGGCAAGCCTCTCAACCTCCCCCTCCAGCCATCGCCCCATTAGCCTCCTCAAGGCAATGGGCAAGCTCTTCGAAAGAGTCATCCAAACGCGTATGAGGCGCTATCTGTTTCCCACAGACGGCGACCCTCTTATCATTCCCCATCAATTCGGTTTCCGAGCCAAACACTCATGTCCCCAACAAGTTCACCGCATTGTGGAATATATCCTCAGCGGTTTCTATCCTCGTCGTCATAAGACCATCGCGGTCTTTTTCGATATAGCTAAAGCTTTCGATAGAGTCTGGCACACAGGCCTCATCTACAAGCTCTACAAAATAGGTCTCCCCGATCGTCTAGTTCGTCTCGTGGCCTCATACTTAAAACATCGTACCTTTCGTTTTAGACACGAAGGCACGCTATCCTCACAGCGAACTATCAAGGCTGGTGTCCCTCAGGGCTCAGTACTTGCTCCTCTGCTGTATATCCTGTTCACCAACGACATTCCCATCCCGTCGAAAGGTGTTCAGCTCTCCCTCTTCGCAGACGACACTGCCATCTACTGCAAAGGTATCTCACTACCCTTCATACGGAACAAGATTCAAAAGTCAGTTGATGACCTAGGAGCTTGGTTCAAAAAATGGCGCATCGATGTGAACCCGGAGAAGAGCTCCGCCGTTCACTTCGATTATAAACGACGCCGTCTCAAAAACACTCCACCAATACGTATGCTAGGGACCCCTGTCCCCTGGCATACGTCTGCCAAATATTTAGGTGTCACTCTAGACACAGGGCTCACTTTCAAGCCCCACGTCAAAAGAGTAACCCGTCACGCACGATTTTATCTGAGTAGGCTCAACAGTATGTTGGACCGACACAGTAAAATGTCCCTTCGAAACAAGCGTACCCTTTACAAGGTCTGTATACGACCAGTCATGTCCTACGCGGGCCCCGTCTTTGCCCACGCAAACCCTAATATTATAAATGAACTCCAAATAGTTCAGAACCTCTTCTGTCGTCAGCTGCGAACGCACCTTGGTGCGTCCGTAATGCCGACCTTCATCGGGACTTAGAGCTCCCAACAATTCAACAATTTCTTAAAAAACTCTCTGAGAACTTCTTCAAAGCCTCAGAGTCGCACCCAAATCAATTAATTCGTGAGGCAGCTTCTTATGCAGCCCCACCCCCCTCTCGCTATCGTGTCCGCAGGCCGAGAAACTCTCTCTCGGACCCGCCTAATAAACTGTCAAACGACCTGAACTGTCTCCTGGCGGCTCAGGCCAACTCTAATTAAATTAAATTATTGCATTAAATAACATTAATTTGCCTTCGTAGGCACTCCCTCAGCGGCTCTTAGCCGCCTGCGTCCCTCTTTTCCCAAAAGAGGGTCGCTCATGATAAGGCACAATACAGCTTAATCAGCCGGCGGCCTGTCCCCAAAGGCGGTTTTTAGAGGGTATCACTTAGGGTCCCCGGTAGGACAGTGAGCCCCTCATAACCACGATAGACCGGCTATCGTGGTATGCGTAATGCATTTTCCGCCTCCCTACGTATAGGGTAGCCCTTTAATTGCTTCGGGCGCAAAAAAAAAGATACAATAAAGTACAGATAACATTGAATAATTAAATTAAAAACCGTCATTCTTTACGAGTTGGGGTGCATTAAACTAATTGTAAATAATTTTATAAATCTTAATAAAACAGAAAAAGATTCGATCTCGATTCTCTAGGATGAAATATCGATTCACTAGATCGATTCAGTACTATATATCGATATGACATTGACAGATGAAACGTCAAAAACGTAATTAATTAGTCATTTACCAATATTTTTAAAAATAATTAAAAATACTTCGACGCTGCTCCGGCAACAAAAATCGAGTGGGGGTGCTTCAGATAAACCCCCTTGACTCCCCCACAGTGACAGAATCTTCAAATTCAGGCGACCGAACTGTAAACCCAACCCGAAGCATATTTAGAGAAAACTAAAATTAACAGTATGGTAGGTTATTAAATGTATGGATCTGACAGTTCTCAATGGCCATGTCGATGATACGCCATCTGGCGTGAGAAATCGGCAGTGAACATTGCCATTATTGAAGTCATTCAGTTTCACGCACTAAACTAGAATTTTTTACCGTTTTCGTAACAATTATTTTTCGATAGTCCTCGTGATTAAAATGTTTATCCCTAGCTATACTACTAGATAAGCACATAATGACAAATCAAAATTCGTCACGTTTTCGGCGTTTTCGCACTGTCAGGTCGTCTATACGCCAGATTCTAAGTTTATGCCATGGAGTATAGAGGTAAGGAGGACAATCTCCCATAGAAGAATAGTTGAAAATGTGTCCATCTGTAAGCAGTAAATAACAGTTCAAAAACTCTCCACAACAGCGCTCGAGTAGCTACAGGGTATGATAAATCACCGTAAAATACGTTGAGAGTTATTTTGAAAATAAAAATTTTGAAAGCAATAAAATAATTATTGTAAAAAGAATCGCGGTGAAAGTCTGTGCAATAAAAAAAACATATAATGTTCTTTAAAATTTGGGCGATAGTTACAGTGGTGCCAACCTTATTTAACGCTTGCCTACGGACTCTTTAATATACTGAGTCTGTACTCCTTACCTTTATACTCCATAGTCTATGCTTACAAATAAAAGCTAAAAGGTACCCTAAAACGGGGTGAATAGCGATGATTTTCAACTTTGTCCAAAGAATTTGTTGTTAATAACTTTTTTTTTACCTCAGGTGATTTTATATCATGTCCGGTACCATGTAAAAAGAGCTACAACAATAGTGTTTTAACCATAAGCATAGGTTTTCCAGAAAATTTGTAAAATATTTACCATTTCTATTCACCCAACGACTGGGGTCAATAGAAACGCGTAAAGGGGTGAATGGAAAAACTATCAGGGCTGCCACATATTACTTTTATCCAACATGCAAAAATTTAAGGTTCTGTGTTAAAAATTTTTTTCTTGTAAATGCTTAACTAATTTCAAATTTTGTGATTTAAAAAAATTTATATTTATGAACATAAATATACTTGTATTTTAACTGATTTCATTTTTACGAAATGATAATGAACTATTTAATAAATCAAACAAGATACTTAACAGTTTATTCGTATTTTTATTTGAATGAAATAAAGCAAAATACAAATTAATTTTCTGAATTAAAAGTCAAATTAAATGTCTATATCATTATGTATTTTGCATTGTAATTCTTCTATGTTATTATCATAATAATCTTCGTAAGCCGTGACATTATCGTAATTTTCCTGTCTTGTATTTCCGCATTTTTTGGCCTGCGTTGTTATGTAATTCTTTCCTTTCATTATTGTTGTTATCATTATTGTTCTTGTCTTCTCTTACTATTCTTTCCAAACTTGATTTTTTTGGTATTTCTTCGATATCTTTTCTTTTAGTGTTATTGTATTCTATATTATTGTCGAAATTTTCTTTTTTTTTTTTTGTATTTCTTTTGCTTCCAAATGCGGAATCTTAGTTTTTTTTCCAATCCCCTTACCTTTTCCTTTGTTAGGTTCTATTTTCTCAGGGCAATTTACTGTTTCTTCATTTGCTTTTATTTTCAAGTTTGTCATTTCATTCTTTTTACCTTTTTCTTTATTCTTATTATTTAAACCTGATGAGCCACCAGTACTTGCATCGTATTGTAACACTGTAATCAATATCAGTTTTCTGCATAGTCTTCAATTTCTTCTGCAGCGACACTTTTACCTGGGAGTACATTGAGTTTTCTCTTTCTTTTAGGCTCAATGATATTCATGGAACCATATCTCATTTCTCTGAGGAGTGTTACTACAGAATCTTCCACAACACTTTGATTGTCTGCACCTAAGTCTCTGTCGGGAAGTCTAGCTAATATTTCATGTCCATTTAAAGAGCTAATCCCTGTTTTCTTAAATCCAGCAATAATATTCCTTGAAGCATTTATATTAAGCTCATCAATTAACAATTTTAATAGTTTTGGAAAGCAACCTTTTGGAATCGTGGGTAATTGTCGACCATCTGTCTTTTTCCGTTTTAATAATAATTGTCTCCAGGCACGCTGCATTGGACGAAAAAATGCCACGTCCAGCGGTTGCGTCAGGTAAGTTGAGTTGGCTGGTAAGAATACTAAATCGATATTGTGCCCTTTACATGTTTGGATCAAATCTGCTGATAAATGTGAAGACCGATTGTCTCCAATTAAGCACTTTTTAAATCCTTAAAATAAGGGACTATATGAGTGTCACAATAGAAGCAAATCAACCAATAGAAGAAGCAGGTTTTCGCAAGAGCTTTTCAACAATCGACCATATACATACTCTAGAACAAATAATAGAAAAATACCACGAGAAGCAAAGAACACTCTACATCGCATATATCGATTATAAAAAAAGCTTTTGATACCGTGTCACATTCAAGCATATGGACCGCCCTGCAAGCCCAAAAAGTTGAAAAAGAGTATGTAGATATAATCATAAACATTTACAAAAGTAGCATAGCAAAAATAAAACAAGAATCCACTGGTCCTACGTTATCCATCGAAAGAGGCGTGAAACAAGGCGACCCGCTGTCTCCTAAATTATTTATATCTATCCTAGAGTCAATAATAAAAAGATTCAACTGGGAAAAGACAGGATTAAACATCAATGGCAAGTATTTATCCCACTTACGCTTCGCAGATGTCTTAGTTCTGCTATCAGAATCTAGCACACAATTACAAAATATGATCGATTTACTAAACACAGCTAGTAAGCAGGTAGGACTAGAAATGAATCTTTCGAAAACAATGGTCATGACAAATAGCATACAGAGAAGAATATCAGTGGACAATGAAACTCTGAAATATACAGAGAAATATATATACCTTGGAAAACAAATTAGCTTCAACAGAAAACAAAATGAACTAGAAGTAAAACGAAGAGTACAAAATACTTGGAACAAGTACTGGTCCTTAAAAGAGATATTTAAAAGTAATATGCCAACAAATATCAAAACAAAAGACATGATGTCATGCCTCCTACCTTGTTTAACTTATGCATGTCAAACTTGGAAATTTATATCCAAATTAAAAAGCAAAATCACTACCTGCCAACGCGGAATAGAACGAAGTATGCTCAACATTAAAAAGATGCAAAAAATTCGTCACACAAAAATGAGAGAAACTAACAAAGCGACGGATGCTCTAACCTACGCTAGAAAACAAAAATGGAAGTGGGCTGGACACGTAGCGAGGCTAAAGGACGAGAGATGGACCACCAGGGTAACAACGTGGAAGGGTCCAATCGGCAAACGTCTCAAAGGCAGAACCTACACGAGATGGGCAGACGAATTGATAAAAATAGCTGGTACCTGCTGGCCGCAAATAGCTCAAGATAGAGACACATGGAATTCTTTAGAGGAGCCCTTCACCTTCACTTGAGGAGGGGTTCATGCAAACAAACTTATATATTATTATCCGAATTTAAACTTTTTCTCTATTCACTTTGTGGCCGTGGAAGGAAAATGGGAGATCTCCCGCCGGGCAAGGTGTTCTGCCCGAGGAGCGGCTGACACTCCGTGTGATAGTTCGGAGATGTTCTATATATGCTGTTTATGACTCGGAATGTTAATAGCGTGATTTAAGCTTCGGTGTGTTTCGCTTGCGGCGCGACGACAGCGCCGCCACAACTTCTTCTTTTTTCTCTAAACTATGTATGTATGTATGTCATTCTTAGCATGAAATAAAAGGCTTATTATTATTATTATGTGGGGTATCTATATAGTTTTCTCATCTGGTTGGGTTCTATAAATATATAATTATAAATTAAAATGAAAATATAAATATACACAAATATAATTAAAATAAAATAAATACAAAAATACGTAAATAAATAAAAGCCTAACCAGATGGAAGCCCTTGGCAGGGGAGACCAAACGGCCGAGGGTTAGGAGGAAAGGGAATGAAACCGACGGACGATGCGGGCGGTATCGAGAAAGCACCGCCTTCTGCATTTGAGCCCGGAGCGGTCCGTCACGGAGTCCCAGTCGCCTCAGATGATCCGGAGAGGCTGACTTGGATTAGCCCATTCGCAGTGACGACTACAGGAATAATTTCGGCCGGTATACCACCCCACATGTCGGTCACCTCATGAGCCAGGTCCAGATATTTTATTCATTTATCTGTTTCGGCTTTCACGAGGTTCTCGTCATACGGAGTTGTAATGTCGACCAAAAATATCCTTGACTGTGCCCGGATCATCAGTACAATATCAGGCTTATTCGCAAGAATAGTCCTGTCCGTGATAATGGCCCGGTCCCAGTAGAGCTTGGCGCGGTCATTTTCGAGCACGGCTTCCGGCAAGTACTTGTAATACGGCAATTTCCGGTTCACGAGACCGTATTTCAGAGCGAGCCTGGTGTAGAATTCTGGCTACTAGGTTGTGTCTGTGCAAGTACTCACAGTTAGAAAGCGCCGAACAACCGGAGATGACATGCCTAAGTGACTCCCCGGGATGGCGACAAGCTCGACAGACGTCGACAGTGTCATCCTTTAGGATGTATCTCCGATAGTTGTTGGTCTTAATAACCTGATCCTGTATTGCACAGACAAAACCCTCGGTTTCCCCGAAAAGGTCACCGAAACGTAGCCAGTTGAGGGAGGCGGCTGTATCTACGAGGGGCTCATGTAGAGCCCTGTAGTACCTTCCGTGTAGCTCCTTCTCCTTCCATACGGTCTCCCGGTCGGAAATGCTAAGCACTGCCGGGTCCTGCCATTGCTCGTAGGCTAAGGATAGAGGGGTAAGTCCTTTATCACTGGAAATGACGTCATTATAGGATGGATCATCCGATCTCGCCAGAAAGTAATCACGGAGGATGCACACTTCGCGATTATGCGTGGTGAGTGCGCTCAAGAAGCCACGCCCACCATGCTTTCGCGGCAAGTACAGCCTCATTACCGACGATCTCGGATGCTCGGCACAATCTATGGGACGTCATTGTAGTGCTGACTTTTCTATCCAGGGCGATTAGTTCAGTCTGACTCCACCTGAGTATTCCAAAGGTATACATGAGGACAGGCAAGACCCAGACGTTATATGCGTGTGTCTTATTCACACCAGACAAAAGGCTGTTAAGCACTTCGGTCAAGCGTGTATAAAACACGTCGCAAACTGACTGTTTCATACCAGCCTCATCGATACCGATGTTCTGTGACATACCCGGGTATCGGTATGTTTCAGCTTCGGAAAGGGACCTTAAGTTGACGGGCATAGATAAGTCTATGCCCTCAGATATAGCAACCCTTCCCCTTTCTACATGAAGGACCGCACACTTATCCGTCCGTAGCTCCATTCTAATAGAATTGCTAAATTCACAAGTGATGTTTAGCAATTCTATAAGATGGGAGCGACTGGAGGCGAATAATTTGAGGACATTCATATAGAAAAGGTGGGTCACTTTTGTACCTCCTTTCCGAAGCTGAAATCCCCTCCCTGAGCCCCCCTCCAGTAAAGAACTGAGAGGGTTCAAAGAGAGGCAGAACCAGATTGGACTCAGACAGTCGCCCAGGAATATACACCTTCTTATCCCTATGCGGCTTTCCGCAGCCGTCATCCGCTCGCCTAGATGACAGAGGATCGTACTCCATTGCCCCATACACTGCTCGAGGAAGTCTCGAACTGTACAGTCAATCTTGTACTGCTCGAGGACCCTCTTTAGCCATGTATGGGGCACCGAGTCAAATGCCTTTCTGTAATCTATCCAGGCGGCGGAGAAGTTCCGACGGTGCGTTTCACCACTTTGCCAATAACCGCGTCAATGAGGAGTGGTACATTGGTTCCACGACCACCGCCCCGACATCCATTTTGAGCGCGCGACATCGCCTGATTTGCGTCCAGGTGACGAGTGATTCTCGCGCTCAAAATGGATGTTAGTGTCTTGTATATGGTCGGTAGACACGTGATGGGTCGGTAATTGCTCGGGTCTGTGGCACCCTAATCTTTAAGAACCAAATGAGTGATCGCAGTTGTGAAGAGGCTCGGGAGCGACTTCTGGTTGATAGCCTCTTGAAACTGTCGAGCGAGCACAGCATGACACACCATGAATCCCTTCAGCCAGTAGTGATGCAGCCCGTCAAGCCCCAGACTTTTCCAGTGCGGAGACCTAAGGACCGCCTTAGCTACATCATCCGGCGTTATGATGACGGGGTCTATGAGCGTAATACCCGCACACTGACTCGCCACAACTTCCGTCCAAGGGCCCTCGTTGTAGTTTACGGGCTCTGACCACAGGCTGTGCCAGAATGCGACCGTGTCGGCCTGATTCGGTACTGGGCCTTCTCCACTTACCATTGGTCGCTCCAATGATTTATAGAGCCTCTTCTGATCACTCTGGAAGAGACGATTCTGGTTGAACCGTGTCGACCTCTCGGTATATCGCCGAATCCGCTTTCCCCAAGCAGCGATTCTCTGCTTAGGTCGTCTATGCGCTCCGTCAGTTTTTGCATTATATCCGGCTGGAACAAACTAACATTTGACCCAGCAAACGCCATCCTGACGGTGCGCACAATCCTTGGCCTGGTATTGCCTGACCTGAAGCATATCAGTCTGCCGATGAGGGCCCTGGCCTTTGCGATACGTACTTCAATTCTTGTTCTCCAGGCTGGGATAGCACTACTTTGTCCAGTAGTGCGTCCAGTCGTGGAAAGTTTGGCGCCAATAATACGGCAGACTGCCAGTGCGGCGCCAAAGAGAAATTAGTCCGTCTCGCAAAGGTCCCGGCTGGCTTTCAAATAGGTTACCAGCATTGGGTTCAGAGCCCTCACGGTAGCCCGATTCCGATTGCTGAGGGCTATGCGGGGAAGTCGCGGTCGATTTTCGAGAGGCGTACCGCGCGTTTCCAAAATCGCCTCATCCAATGTACTCCTCATTTGCTCCGGTTCCAGTTCCTGGGCGACTGTTCCATCATCGTGTGAATCAACTACAACTGGGGTATTCACGGCGGCATCCACGTTTTCCGGTTGCTCTGCAAGTTGTGGCGCCGCATCCTCAGCCGTAGCATTTTCATCCGATGAAGGAACAGCCTCACGTCGTAGCCGTTCGAGTTCGGTGACATCAAATGTATTTGAGCGCAAGATATACCGAACTCGGTCTGCCAGGTTTTGCTCGATGACGGTTACATATGGCTCCAGCTCAGCAAAAAGTCGATGCATCCTTGCCCGATAGGCAAAACCTCCAATTTCTTCCCCTTTCGCCCTAAAATACGCCCGCAATGCGTTGGTATTCATTTCGATTCTTCATCGCATGCGGCGTACTCCACCAGTGGCGGGTGCCGATAGCTGGGCCCGCGAAGACCCTGCCGACATCAAGCCAGCTGGTGGGGATGATGGATGCGAGGGTATTAATAGAGTAATGACATCTGGGTGGGCTGGATAAATATATAAAGGGAAAAATTAATATATTAAAATATATATTTAATATACTAACATAAATAAATAAATAAAAGCCCAACCAGATGGAAGCCCTCGACAGGGGGAGACCAAACAGCCGAGGGTAGGGGGAAAGGGAAAGAAATCGGCGGACGATGCGGGCGGTATCGAGGAGCACCGCCTTCTGCATTTGAGCCCGGAGCGGTCCGTCACGGAGTCCCAGTCGCCTCAGATGGCCCGAGAGGCTGGCTGGGATTAACCCGTTTGCAGACACGACTACAGGAATAATTTCGGTCGACAGACCCCCCCACATGTCGGTCACCTCGTGAGCCAGGTCCAGATATTTTGATTGCTTGTCTGTTTCGTCTTTCACGAGGTTCTCGTCATACGGAATGGTAATGTCGATCAAAAATAACCTTGACTGTGCCCGGTCAATCAGCACAATATCAGGCTTATTCGCAAGAATAGTCCTGTCCGTGATGATGGCCCGGTCCCAGAGCCTGGCACGGTCATTTTCGAGCACGGCTTCCAGCAGGTACTTGTAATACGGCACTTTCTGGTCCTGTGTTGTGCCTGTGCAAGTACTCAGAGTTAGAAAGCGCCGAACAACCGGAGATGACATGCCTAAGTGACTCACCGGGATGGCGACAAGCTTGACAAATGTCGATAGTGCTATCCTTTAGGATGTATCCTCGATAGTTGTTGGTCTTAATAACCTGATCCTGTATTGCACAGACAAAACCCTCGGTTTCCCGAACAGGTCACCGAAACGTAGCCAGTTGAGGGAGGCGACTGTACGAAGGGTCTATGAAGGGCTCATGTAGAGCCCTGTAGTACCTCCCGTGGAGCTCCTTCTCCTTCTATACGGTCTCCCGGTCGGAAATGCTAAGCACTGCCGGGTCCTGCCATTTCTCGTTGGCTAAGGATAGAGGGGTAAGCCCTTTGTCACTAGAAATGACGTCATTATAGAGTGGATCATCCGATTTCGCCAGGAAGTAATCACGGAGGCTGCGCACTTCGCGATTATGCATGGTGAGCGTGCTCAGGAAGCCACGCCTACCATGCTTTCGCGGCAAGTAAAGCCTCTTTACCGACGATCTCGGATGATGCATCCTATGGGACGTCCTGGTAGTGCGAACTATTCTATCCAGGGCGTTAAGTTCAGTCTGAGTCCACCAGAGTACGCCAAAGGTATACAGAGAGGACAGGCATGACCCAGCCGTTATATGCGTGTGATTTGCCATTTTGAGCGCGAGAATCACTCGTCACCTGGAGCTAAATCAGGTGATGTCACGCGCTCAAAATGGATGTCGGGGTGGTGGTCGTGGAATCAAGGAACCACTCCTCATTGACGCGGTCATTGGCAAAGTGGTGAAACGCAACCGTCGGAATTTCTCTGCCGCCTGGATAGACTACAGAAAGGCATTCGACTCCGTGCCCCATACATGGCTAAAGAGAGTCCTCCAGCTGTACAAAATTGACTGTAGAGTTGGAGACTTCCTCGAGCAGTGTATGGGGCAATGGAGTACGATCCTTTGCTATCTGGGCGAGCGGATGATGGCTGTGGAGAACCACATAGGGATAAGAAGGGGTATCTTCCAGGGCGATTGTCTGAGTCCAATCTGGTTTTGCCTCTCTCTGAACCCTCTCAGTACTTTACTAGGGGGCGCCGGGAGGGGATTACAGCTTCGAAAAGGAGGTACAAAAGTGACCCACTTTTTCTATATGGATGACCTCAAATTATTCGCCTCCAGTCGCTCCCATCTTATGGAATTGCTAAACATCACTTGTGAATTTAGCAATTCTATTGGAATGGAGCTGGGGACGGATAAGTGTGCGGTCCTCCATGTTGAAAGGGGAAGGGTTACTAACTCCGAGGGCACAGACTTATCTATGCCCGTCAACTTAAGAACCCTTTCCGAGGCTGAAACATACCGATACCCGGGTATGTCACAGAACATCGGTATCGATGAGGCTGGTATGAAACAGTCAGTTTGTGACATGTTTTATGCACGCTTGACCAAAGTGCTTAACAGCCTTTTGTCCGGTGTGAATAAGGCACACGCATATAACGACTGGGTCATACCTGTCCTCATGTATACCTTTGGCGTACTCTGGTGGACTCAGACTGAACTTAACGCCCTGGATACAATAGTTCGCACTACAAAAGTATTTGACTGTGTAAAATATGATATATTATATTATATAAATTAACAGAAAATTATATAAATAATAGAATACAATCTACTGGTATCGAGATACATACATACATATATATATATATATATATATATATATATATATATATGTATGTATGTATATTTATATATTATATTTATATATGTATGTATTTTCTAATGATGACTTAAATGATTCTGTTTTTTAAAATTAAATAAACAAACAATTGAAAACAGTAACTGATTGGCTGCAGACAATAAATTTAAAAGTAAGCCCGTCAAAAACCAATGTCGAACAATTCAGAAATAAATGATGTATACCTGCAAACTAAATATAACCGTGACTGATATAGCGGTCGAAGAAGTAAAGAACATAAATTATCTAGGAGTTGAAATAGATTAACATCTTAACTGAAAGGCACATGTTGCAAAAATAAATAAAAATATATCCAGGGCGTAGGCTCTTCGGAAGGTGGGCTTTGACGCCGCAGTTGAGTCTGAACTGCTTCAACTCCAATCCCCCAGCCCTCCTCATCTCAGGGTGAGACTGGAACGCCATCAGTGAAAGTGACAAAAACCCAAGGCGCCATTGATTTTTGGTGTGACTAATTTGTCAAACCGTCTCTTTTTGGTGAAGGCTATTACAACAGTTTTATCAGCATTAACTGATAAACTGTTTTTTTTTATATTTAAGGTTTAATTAATAGTGTTTAAGGCCCTTTGTATAAATGACGATAAAGTACATTGGCAAAAGCCCCTCGTAATGATCACAAGATCATCAGCATAACCCAGTGTGTCATTGCGTAGGTCTACCATCTTGTACAATAGTTGGTCAATCACAAGAGTCCAAGGAAGGGGTGACCAAAAAGCTTCTTTTGTGCAGCCTCATGTAGTTGCAGCTTCAATCAAAGTTTGAAACAGCGCTATTTTTGCCTTTTTGTTTAAGAACTTATACGTCACCCACCTGATGGTTGTGGGGCCAACGCTTGCAGCAGTTGTAATGTGGGGCTACTGTCGAAAGCACATTCAATATCCAGAAAGGCACAAAGATCTATTTCTTTATCCTCCAGTGCTTTTTTGACCCTGTCAATAACACTGACCAGGGCTGTTTCCGAGATTTGCCTCTGCGGTAAGCATGCTGGTTGTAATGTATGGGTCTCGTAACTACATATCTTATATATCTATCTATAACCTTTTCCAGTGGTAAAGTGTAGTCCTTTCTACCAGCCTTAGTTATAAATAGAACTTTGACAAATGTCCATCGTTCTGGAATATATCCCAATGCAAAACCTGCACTGAAGATTTTCACCAAATAGAGAAGAAGGATATCGACAACCAAAACCATGGATAGGAATTATTCCATCCTACCCGCTTGTCTTATATGGTATAAAAGGAGTCAAAAGTACACTGCAACAGGTTTGGCCTTACTATATTTGCATCCCTACACAAGTCGTAGGGCTCTGTAAATGTTCAAGAAAAAAGTCGTATGTGACCTTGGAAATTGGGTTGACGAATAGAAACTTTGGAGTTAGTAGCTCCAAAGTTTCTATTTCACTATAAGTGAAGTTACCATCAGGCTTTTTAAGAAGCCTGATCTGATTAGGTTTAGCTTTCGATAGCATTTTGTGTAGTCTTACACTGCAAGGCAAGGACTTAATTTCCTCGCATAAATTCCTACACGATGCTCTCTTGGCTTTTCCTTATTATATTCGGTTAGGGCTGCAATATAAATATCCCACTCTTTGGT